CGCCCCGCCCCGCCTGGCTGGCGCGCTCACGCTGATCCTGTGGAAGTTCACGCTCCAGTTGGCCCCGGCCCGCGAGGGGATGAAGCGGTCTCCGTGTTTGCTGGGGGACGACACCGGCGAGTTGGCGGGCGTCAGGGTGCGCCGCATCTCGGACACCTACGGGGCGGAAGGTGGAAGGCGGCAGCGTGGGCACTTCGGCCGGAACTCAGGGTGCGACCCTGATTCCCCGGGGGGTACCGGAGGCCGTCTGGGTCAGGGAGCCCTTGCAGCCCCCACGTCCAGGCTTCCCCAGAGCACAGGGCCACAGAGAGGGGAGGGGTCTGGGGCGGGGCCAGCAGACGGACTGTCTCTAAGTGACCACGACAACAGCCAGGGCGCTGCAGGACAGGGCCGTGGGTGACCACCCTGCCCTGTCCTGGAGGCTGCTGCCCTCAGCCCCACGCCCCAGCCCTGGCCTGGCGACCCCTCTCCCCCACGGAGTATACATCTGCTGCCTCAGCCTGGGGCTCGGTGTCCTGCCCGTCCTGACCCGGTCCCCCACGTCCCTGGGACCACAGCTGCCCCCACACCGCCTGGTTGGGCGGGGCCAGCAGTGGACCCCCGGCCTCTCACGTGGCCTCCACCTGTTGCTCAGGAGGGTCTGCGCACACCCGCGCTGGGCCGGCGTCCCTCTCCGGAAGGACCCAGCCCACGGGTGGCATCTGAAGGGGCTGGACGTCCCTTCATAAGGCCCAGACTGCAGCCCCAGCAGGTCCGCGTGAGCCCCGTGTCCACAGGAGGCCCAGGGCCTTACCCGCCGCCACCTGCCCCTCACCACACCTGGCCTCCTGCAGCACCCGCTGTGGGCACGGCAGGGCCCAGGCTCACCGGCCTGTGCGGAACCCGGTGCCTTCCGTCGACCAGGTCAGGCGCTCGGGCTGTGTGGACAGCACCCACGTTCGTGTCTACACCCGAGAGCCCCATGTCTCAGGGCTCTGGTTCTGCTCTAACCCCGCAGGGTCGGCCCGTGCGCCCGCGGCCCCGCGCTGAGCCCGGCCCTGGGGAGGAGGCGCAGCACTCACGCACGGCATCGTGTTCTCGTTGGGGCTGGCGGCGCGGCACCCGCCGTTCGTAGTCCTGGTCCATGGCGGGGCTCGGCCTTCGGGAGGGAGGGAGGCCGGGTCAGCCCGGGCGGGTGGCTTCCAGGGCGAGGGGCGCTGGTGACCTCAGGGCCACGTCCCAAGTCCCCAGCCCTGCTGTAACCCCCGGGCCCCGCAAGCCGAGACACAAACAGGGACGGATGGGCGCCCCATCTCCAGGCCCCGTGCAGGCCCGCCCAGCCCTCAGCCCCCGCCTGCCGGGGCTGGGGCCCCCACCGAGCTCGGCCTGGCTCACAGCCCTGGCGGCACGGTGGACGTGACAGCAGGACGGCTAGCCGGCGCGCACCCGGCGGGCTGAGAGTCGGGGGCGTGCCCCCTGCCCCCTGGGGGGTGGCCGGGGCGCC